AACTATGTTTAGTGAGATGAGTAATTTCAATATATCTAAATCCATGTTTCTTTGCGAAAAAATACAAAGGGAAATCGACAAAGCTTCTCGTAGACAGGAGCACTTGATGTTTGAGAACAAACCCCAAGAACTATTTTACAGAAATCGAGGTGGATTTAGTCAACTTCTTTGTAATCGTAAGTCCCCCAGACTTCGGAACCATAGATAATTATAGGAACATCTTGAGAGTCAAACAAAGAAAACCTAAATTATAATATCTATGTCTATTCTACCGGACAATGACAAAAGATTATTGTATGCCGTAAGAGCTTGTTCGTTTGATGCATTCACAGCATCTACCTTATTGCCTTTGTATGTAAATTTTACACAAAGGTAACAAAAGGAATAGAAAAATTCAACATTTTCTCCGTTGATAGACCATGTAAAATTATTTCTCGGCCTTTTCCTTTCAAACATTTATTTTAGATTTGTTACTTAACTTAACCCCCATTTCTTAGAATTAATATAGATTATCAATCTGGCTTTGAAGACAAATTGAGTTGGTTGTAAATAAAGCAATATCATCAGCAAATAGTAACAAATTGATGTCCTTATAAATCAATGATATAACTTGTATCATTCATAGACAAAATAAACAAAAGTGCATGCGAGAGTGGTTCCCCTTGTTTGAGTCCAAGCGAGATATCAAAAATGTTAGAATAAGATATTGAACATATATCCTCTATAAAATATATAGCATTTGATTAAACAACGTAGCCTTGTCCATTTTTATCATTTTACAATGTGTTTCGGACTGTACTTATTATTGATATATTAGCTACCACAGTTACAAGAATTATTCCTCTGTAATTTAAACAATCGGATTGTATGCATTTTATACATGGAAACAAAAACAATATCCCTCTTGCTTCACGCCTCTGGTACACCTTTATCATAAATTGTATTAAATACTTTAACAAAATATGGAGCAATGGATTCCTTCGGATCAATACAGAAATCGGCCAGACCCCCCCCCCCCGCATATCACAGCTTTTATGTTTATTTAAACACGAGATCGTTTTGCAAATTTCCTATACCGAAAAAGACATATCAATAACCATTTGTTCATCTGTGTCGGTAAAATCATTTGAGTTAAAGGTGTTTTTGAAGCAGTAACTAAAATCATTTAAAAAAAATCAGTTAGGTCAATATTATAATTAGCATAATTCACTTTGCAATTAAATTTGTTAATGTATTTCAAAACATTTCTACAGCTGCTTGATTTAGTAAGATTTGACAAAGCTAGTTACCTCGGTTTTCATCATTTACTTTCTTTTCTATTGAAGCTTAAAATCTACAAGCGCATTTAAAAACAAGTATTTGTTCTGATTACCTAGGTCTACACTAAATATGTGTTTTCATGCTTTTTTGATTTGCACAAATCATCGAACCTTGGAGAACGATTGAATCCTTAAATGCGTTATTCGCTTCGATGAACATGTTTTACCTTGCAGTTGGATATCTGATTTGAAAAATTATTCATCCAGGCATTAATATCATACTAGCTTGCATAAAAGTTATTTGCCAGTCAATTAGGCAAATAGTGATTTTTTATGATTTAATGCTTCCCATAATTTATCCATATCTCAGTTTTCCCATATTCACATACAGCTGACATACGTTTCGGCTTGTTTCAATAGAAAATAACTTTGCCATAAAAATATAAACCACGACTGGTCATGCGTATTTGATGAAGCATTAAAGTCAGTCAGGGTACTTGAGGATTCTAGAGATGTCAATGTTACCGGGATGGATAACTGCTGCACTGGAGAGTCATTTAAAACTATAAATAGATGTACTGGGTAGAAATTGACAAAGACATGGTGGAGGTGACATCTGTATATTGGGTTGGTATCCATTAGTTGTGGTAGAGAAGGACAACGATGACGTCACCGTTGTGAATTGTTGCAACCTGTGTCATGCTTTTCCAGTTGATCAAATGACACAGGAAAGGCCTCGTCTTTAGAACTCTTCTAACCGTTATTACATTTTTTTCAATCCGCTTATTTGTCATTTGTATGGTCCGTTAGATAAATGAGGTAACTGTGTAGATATAAATGCTTTATCATATTTTTTTACCCTTTGGCACGCAAATGTCAACAAGCATAATAAATTCAACCGTTATATGTTTAGATGGTAAAAGGTATTAACCGGGCACTTGACGATTGCTTTTATTGAGACCTTTACAATAGTTGAATAAAGAGATTCTTTTTCATAAAATTAGATGAAATGCAACTGTTTAAAGCACATTATACCTCAGAAATTAATATTTTTTTATTTTGTAAAAAGGGCCAAGATGTGTTTTAAAATGTTATTATAATGGTTTAAGAACACGGGTGATGCTTATCATCTGAAGAAAATAGTGTTGAATGTGAAACATTTTAATAGAAAGATAGGAAATTGTTAACATAGTGTATCTTTGACTTCCATACAAGTTTCTAAATAACTACAACTGTACAAATTACCAAAAGGCAACAAAAATAAAAGACGGCACAAAAATACGTCCATTAAGATGAGTAACGTTTTGTTGTAACAAAACAAAACGAAAATATTTTTTATTGCAAACATTTAGATGTTAGCCCTTTTGTGGCATAATGAGCCTGTGAAAAGAAGCGTATTAAATATATTGTCCAGCCAGGTTGGACATCTGAAGAAATCTGGAGTGCTAAAAGTACTTAAGTAGTAATGTCTGTGATGATTTTAAAACCTGGAAATAATAACGTTAATTTGCTTGTTAAATCGAAAAAGTGTTTTAACAAATCGATTCAGGAGAAAACCTATTGAATTTCTCTGAACAAGTATGAACACCTTGCATCTGATAATACAACAAGTCACTCAATACGCAAACTTAAATGGTATGCGTACTGGTGACATTTGGCGAATATATTATTAATGGTTTCAGTAACGTATTTATCAGGTATGATTACTCATTAAGATATAGATAAAAAATACATTAAGAATTTAAGCACGCATATTGACAACTCGTTAAACTTAACATATTCAGTCTTGATTGTATTTCATAAACATGCACTGATGTTTAGATTATTTTAGAATCACCTAAAAATACCAAATCAACGGGTCTTGAAGATAAAGGTCCCCCAATTTTTAAATTACAGCGATTCCATTAGCGTCAATAATTAACAGTGATATACATACGGTCATCTTTTGCGCGTCCGTGACCAAATGGTAAGTTCGTTGAGTTCAAACCACATGTATTTCACCGCTGTCATGTGATAAATCTGTCAAGCTAGTTTACGGGAAGTCAGTGGTTCTACTCATGACCCTTCTATGTCTGAAATAATAAAACTGGGTGCCTGAGGTCTTATTCTACCAGTAAAGCTGGAATTTTGCAATACGACATATACTGTGTAGTGCGACACAAATTCCAACCAAATAGAATTGCATATTTCCGATATTTAAGTTGAAATTTGTGCGTGTTTTATCTATATTTTAATCAGTAGATGTTCAGGCTGAAAGAATTTTATACCTACATTAATTTTATCTATATCAAACCCACTACACCGGACTATTAATTGATCACTGATGCAACTTGAAGCTGGTAAACTAGTCGACTTGGTTAATTTAGATTTACGTAATGCATTTGATATTATCGAAGTCAAATACTATTTCGTACCAGTTCTCGGTTACAACATGTACGCTTAGAAACTAAACATGTAAACAAATAGTTATTTAATGCTGGGAGTTCTTGGCAAGTTTATTTCCAATATATTAAGTAAATGCCCACCTAAAATAAGTGAATTTATAGATACAAAAGCAAACAGTACATTATTTGTATATTTATTATTATGTTGAAGAAACCGAAAGTACAAAATGCCAACCCATTGACATTTCGTCGCATTTGCATCAGTGGGCATGTTTAAAGTCAGTCATATATCAATTATAATTGTACCGAAACAGACTTAATTTTTTTTTGTTGTCAATTATATGTACATTCCTTTTACATTACCGAAGATTACACCTTTCTCCTTATGTTTACATCTGACACTACTTTCAATCCGTATTGTTTCCGAGGTTATTATAGATAATAGCCGATGTCGTTCCGATTGCGTTTGATACTCGATAAATTACGGCTTTTTCCGCACATTTACGTTTTGAACTCGGCAGATTCAGTGGTCCAGCAGGGAACCAGACTAGAGATTCAGCGGCAGTAAACATTTCTACTCAGTGAAATGGTAAGAAAACTTGATACTCTACTCTGCAGCAGATGATGTCTGAACATTGTTTACCGGACAATTAATACAACTAAATATCTTTTGAGTGTTTTATTGGTCAGAAATAGAAGAAATTTAAACATATTTATCACTTAAAGAAATTAGCTCTGAATGCCGAATTATTCTGACAAAGATTACAAAATGTAAAATAAAGTGAATTTTGAATGCTATGAGTGAGTAATAAAAAGCCGTTTGCTATGGTGGCTGATTTGGCACACTTTTGTGCGTCATGTTGTCGCTAGCGCCAAACGGCGCATTATCGCACTGTCGTTTTATCGTCTTGTCCTAACGATGCACACCAAACGGCGCGTTGTCGAGCGAAGTGTTGTCACGATGTCACATTGTGGCTAGGCTCAAATCGATGGATTGGCTATTATTTTATATATAAGCCAAGCAACAAGGAGAAATCGTGACAACGCAGCGGACAACAGCGCGCCGTGTGATAGCGACAGGACGAATAGACGACAGTGTGGCAATGCGCCGTCTAACGTGTTTCGCAAGCGACAATACGAAAAGGCGATAACCATATAGGTTGAGTTGTCGCTATCGACAACGCAACGCGCAAAGTGTACCAAAACAACCACCATAGTTGGCGGTCGATCTTGTGACGATGCACAAGGCGACACCGTATGGTGGTGACATGTTACCTTAAAACTTTATATATGATTTTGAAATGCAAGCATATTTTAATGGGATTAATTAACTATGAATTATGCATAAATATTTGTTTTATAAATTTTGACATATCTAGAATAAAATATGGGATAAAATACATATTTTCATGGGCTTGCACATTCTCAATACAATTGGAGTTTAGTTAGATTTACTTTACTTTAATTTCACTACTGTCGGATCCTATCCATTAAAATATCTCTGTTTTGTTTTTTGCAAGTTATTAACAAGTTATCTTTTTTATATATAGATACAACTGGATAATATGACGTTTATAATATGGATACTATTCACAGCAGTGATATTAATCAACAAGTAACAAACAATAACAAACGTGTAGCAAAAAAGTGTGTTAGAATATTAAAAATCTCATCCCTTTTTAATGTTGACCTTTCTTTCTACAAACAAGCAGTATAATGTAAAACTACCAAATTACCTTTTTAAATCTATTAGTTTACACCTCAGTTATACAAATGGTCGGCCCGATACAGAATTATTTCCCGGATTTAAAGTTTGAAATTAGTGTTTAAAATTTAGTGTTGGAAATATACTACTTCAACGATGTCAGAAAACTCAAGCTTAATGGAATTAACAATGGATCAGATACAGACCGTATGATATTTTATATTTCATTGCTTCTATTAAGAATCTATTACTCTATTCTTGTTTATCCTGATATTTGAATGTTTGAAGGGGACTCCACTGAGGACGTTTGACGTGACGGGACTGAAAAACATTTTTTCGGAATTAATGTTCAAATTGATGTAGGTCGAGATATATAATTTGTGTGCAAAATTTCAAATTAATCGCTCATTCCGTTTTCCAGAATTATTATTCTAATTGTGTAAAAAAAATCCAAAATTAAAACGCGTTGAAAAGCTTTTCAGTCAAATCGGGTAAAGATTAGCACACAAAAAACACAATTTTCAATTTATGCTTGAGTATATTTTTAAATTAATCTTTGCGCATCTTTTGATTTAAGTGCCCCAGCTGATCTTGAAAAAAATTCAAATTTGATATTGTTAGGCTATTGAACGTCAGTGGAGTTCCCTTAATAAGGTTAACTACCTCAAATTCAGGGTACATTCTAAAAGATTTAAAGCCCATGCAATGTAAGAGAAGCAATATACTTAATACAGATTACAAAAATCGAAAACATGTTTTTGTTTATGGTCAACTAAATAATACATTGGAATATTAATTGACCGTTTGTCGCTATGTAACCCAGTTTATGCACCAAACGGAATATAATTGAAGTTAGTTTATTTATTTTTCTTTTTTTTTCAGGCTTTTGATAAAACATTAAAGACATTTAATGAGCCGGGAGTCAGACTTGTCCTGATAACAAATAAATATGTAGACACTGCCTTAAAATTTGCTCGAGAAAACTTCATGACTCGGGAACCAGTTAGCAAAAGTATTGGAATAAAATGGACTGCAGAATATGAGCAGCTGTGGAAGAGATCTTTAGATCTCAACCTTTCTCTGATGTTCCTCAGTGAGAAAGATGAAGAGCCAATAGCATTGCGGACAATAAGAATAGCTCGATATGACGATACAAATGATAGTGACGGTATCAAAGACCAGCCCTTAAAAGAGGTTGTCCGTCTTCTCGGATACTGTGACCAAAAGGCGAATTTCTTTGGCCATTTTCATACTCTAGAAGCGTTCCACTTTTTAGGTCTTGCAGTAGCTCCAAAATATCAACGGCGTGGCTATGCTACGAAGATATTCAACACTGCAGTTGAAATGATTCGTAATTTTGGAATAGATCCTGTGTATATTAAAGTCGAGGGTTCCTCGAATTTTTCGAAGAAAATTTTTGAAAAGACAGGTATGGAAAGTTTATACGAACTGTTTTTTGATGATTGGGAAGTTGAAGGAAGGACATTAATTCAGAATACGGGCATTCATAGGTCTGTTAAAATGTATGGCATGAAATTATCAACAGGATAACGGTGCGACAATGATGATGATTTTGTTGTAAAGGTAGACATTCTAACAAAACTTCCAATATGACCTTCGCCTACTGACTTCAAGAAAGGAGTTAATGATACACCCCTTAACCAGCTGCATTTTTGATATGGATTTGCCGATCTTTAAAACATAAATTTTGTGATTTTTATATATCAAATTTTGAGCTACAAAACGTTAAGAGCTTGAACTGACTGCACAAATGGCCCGGATGCTGACCTGGCTCTTCCCTTGTGGTAAAATGACTGATGATTTGTGTGTGAAGGCAGTCAAAGGGTATACACAGTTGGACAAAACGTATATAGAGATAATCCAAGCCCAGCCAGGATGCTCATTTTGTGTACTGATTTTGAGATATTGTGATTTTTAAATGATTCTTATTTAATTTTTATCGTTTCGATACCAATTTTTGTTTCCTCTAAATTAACATAGTGGTTATGTTGTTTGACAATAGACATTATTTGTGATCGTAGGAAAAGAATATACCAAAGAAAGTTATATTTCTAGATATAAAGCTAATGCAAGTTTATGATAAAACAAGTTGTTTTATTAAAGCAACCACGTTGTCTTTGAACTAGCAAAAACTTTAGTAACTGATATTTCGTCTTGCTTAAAATTTCTTAATCATTACAACTTTATTAATGACTAAATAATTAGATGGTTGAGCTTCATGGCCCAATAAACATAATGTGGTTTCTTGGCTTAATGAACCTTTTTAAAGTTTTGATGTGTATGGCGAGTTTTAAGATTTTCATCTCGACTGCATTCATATAGACGACAAGCAAGGTAGTTTGCTTTTAATTAACACAATTTGAAGTAAAGCAAAAACAGAGAAAATATTAAAGTCACCAAGATAGTTGAAAATGTAGGTATTGGATAATTGATATCGCATATCAATGTTAATATTCTACAAAAATCTAAAAGATACAGAAACTTTTAATCACTTGAAAGTGAAAAAGCACTACCATATCTCTTAATTGACGATATTTTATTTATATCAAGAGATATAAAAATGGTATCGGACAGACTATTAAAAAGAAATGTTTATATAACAAATATTATTATTGCGACCATACTGGTGCTGATAAAAGGTAGTCAAAAATACTAAGATCGTTTCATGGAAAATTAAGATTGACTTAAGATGTTTGTGAAGCCAGTTTCGTAGCTTTGAACACAAATGAAAGTTTATGCTTTTTAGTACTTTTATTCAAGGAAAATTTGAATTTTTATGCTGGAAAAGAAGTTTATAAACAAATTAAAAATCGTTAAGGTAACGAATATTTAATTAATTCAACATGCTTTTATCGTAAATGTTATTGATAGCATAAGGATTCAAATTACTTAATAAATGATTGCCGTTTTTACAAATTTTTTGATTGATTCAATGTTAAAAGCTGGTCATTTTGTTATAGTATAACGAAATACAAATACATGTACTAAAAAGTCGAAGGTTTTTCCAGTGAACCGAAAATGAAAATGTCGCCCGCACGGTTAGCTACAACACGATTATGGACGGTTGTGTGCTAACGAACTAACAAAATAAAACATCTTAATTTAAAATTATAATAATGGTGTATTATTAAGTAATGACTTTCATCCTCTGGTGCGTTCGTGACTTATCTTTAAACCGAAATTTAAGTCATGCCATTCTATGAACAGCGGCGTATGGTTCCAAATTATAAAAAATATATATACATGTATGTGTCCTTTACAAGAAAACTATGGGCGGAACTAAGGTAACATAATGCACAGACCATGTTTAAACAAGACTAACTAGTATAGTAATATCATTAATACAATCAGTTAAATCATGGCTGGTAAATCAATTTAGTGCTTAAAACAATAGACCAACTACAAAAGGTAGGTCGATTTTGATTTTTATGCATGTTTATATTACATCTTTCGTTCATTTCGAAATGTGCACTCGTTAAGTGAAATTAATTTTGTTTTGATTAGCTAAATGTTTTGCATTAAACGTAATTAAGATAAACTCGTTATATTTTACTTTTCTTCACCTCACTGCACATTTATTTCAATGAAAATGTAATATTGTTAGGGCGGCAATAAATACTTATGCAAACTATTGATATATTTACATTGAGGTATTTAAAAAAAATCGTGAAGCTCTCCTTCTTAAGACAAGAAATAATTTGTCAACTCTGAGTTAAACATATCATCAATTAAAATTAATGTAAAAAACTTAGGCACAAGATTAAACAATTTGACGGAACCATAACTGCAATTACCAGATTAAACATTTAAACACTGTTGGCTTTTCATTTATTTTTTTTCTTTTAACGTTGAAATCCCTTTAACTTTGAAAGGACTGTTCCAAATTTAAAGCAATGCAAATGCATATAACACATTGAGCAGGTTAAGGGCTAAATTCGTGACTTTAATTGACACCCGGTGTTTGGCAAGAGGCGAAAGATATACAATGATTTTAATTACCATACATTATTATAATTTATAAGTCGTCATGAACTATGCAGTATATTAGTATGGCGGTGTTTATATATTTTGTTTCTGTACATTTAACTTATTGTGCTAGTTATACATTAATGTATATGGCATGATCCTTTGCAAAACAGATCTGCAGCCATGGGCAAAATCATTATATTCAATTTAATCAATGTCCATCGTTATCACAATAATTGTAGCGCATATTAACTTATTAAGAATAAACACATCAATGTGATTGTTTATTTAATTGGTAAATGGGTAGGTTGTTTTTACGCCGATTAAAAAAAAAATTTGGTCATATATCATCGGTCAGTCCATTTTTCCGGCTGCCATTGATAATTAACACGTACGGAAATCTTTCTATTTATATTTCTAAAATTTTTAGATTTTATATTTAAAAAAAAAAGTTATAAAGATTTATATTTCTAAAAATCTTCCGGTATTAGAAATCTTTCTGTTCAAAAAGTGTATAAATGTTCGTAAAAAAACACCAGCATTTTTCGGGTCAACTGCTGAAACACCACTTGTCTGATTCTTTTCCGTTTTCTTTTATCAATTAGTTTTGAGGGTCTTCTTTACAGAAACATAAAACCCAAAGCCCCTAACCAAGCGACATTGCTAGGATATTTCCACGTGGCATGGTCGTCTTTTTTTTCTTTTTTGTTGTTTGTTTTTTTTTGGGTTTTTTTTGGACCGGCTATTTGTTCTTTCTGTCTATAAAGTTTTTATTATTTTGCAAAAATACACCATTTGCACGAACCAACCTTAACAACACAATTTGTCTGATTCCTTTGCGGATTCGTGTTTGTTCCGTTAGTTTAGGGGATTTACTTTACAGAAATTTAAGGTCAAAAATAACAGTTTGGGAGATTTCTGCGTGGCGTGGTCGTTTATTTGGACCTGTCGATTTGTTCTTTCCTTTCTGTATATACAATGTATAAATTTTCGTAAATAATCACCATTTTCGCGAGCCAACCGATAACACAACTAACTTATGTCTTAATCCGTTGCTGATTGGATTTTCTATTTGTTTGGAGGGTCGATCTTCTTTACAGAAATATAAAGTCATACCTGTTAACTTTTTTCTTTTGCATTGACTTAACCGTACCTGTCCTGTCACAGTATTAAAAGAGAACTAGTATGGAAATGGGATAACGCTCACCTTTAAATTTCAATTTTCACAACTTTGCGCATCTAAACAGACATTCGTGAAGGTTTATTTATATTTTTATTCGGCTCCTCTCAAGGTATGCAGTGCACGACTGGCTATTTCAATCTAAGCCATTTTACGCGTGCGTTCAACCTCATATATGCTGAGATAAATTAGTTGTATATTTCAAAAGTGTTACTATTTTAATGGCGATTGAAAAAATTTTGTTAAACACAAATGTTTAGGAAAAGAATAACTGCCTAAAATATTAAAAGACTTCCCCACTTCATACATTGAACATTACCGGTATTTTTCGTATGATAATAATAGATATGTATGTGGGTCACGTAAGTAGTTCATTACTCAGGCGACGTTACTATTCAATTGAAAACAAATATGACAAAATGTAAAGTTATTTTCATTTTACCTGAAGATAATCTATTTACTACTGAATTAGAGCGCTGTGATACTTAATTAAAAAGCATTTAAAATCTTATTTTAACTGGTTTGGGGGTCGGGTGGTAAAAAAGTTGTTGTTATTGTTTTTGTTTTGTTTGTGTAAGGGGGTATGTTTGTGTGCTTTTTGTTTGTTTTGTTTTGTTGGGGTTTTTTTCTTTCTTTTTTAGATTGAACAGATATACTGGAATAAAGGAATACGGACTGGGTGTACATATTTGGATTTTAATCCTGTGGCTACTGTACAAAAACTATCTATAGATAGTGTCAAGTATAAACAAAAGGTCTACTTTTTGTTTGTCAAAATCACACGGTATACATTTCGCATACACGACATTAACCAAAGATGATATAGATACAAATGAATAACTACAATATGATAATGATTTGCTTCCAGTGAATGTTTTTATTAAATAGGAATTATATATGTCTCCTTAATACATTAAATTGTTAATCTAACATACACAAGAAACCAGTTTCTGAATATGTTTCTATCATCACAGTTTATCGCCATATTTACTTAACGGTTCGGTTTGTATTACAAGTCCGAATTCGCTATTCCTTTCGTTATCTGTTAATATTGACAAATAGGGGTGTCAATAATTCTTTAATAAAAGCGTACTTTTTATCGTCTAAATCTTTTACCACCTAATCAATCATACATTTTCTATGCGTTTAGCATACTAGCGTAGTGGTAGAGTGTTCTCTCTGTAAGTGTACAGACCCTCGTTCGAATCCTTGAAAATGCATTTTTTCCTTTTATTTTTTTTTTGTTTTTAGGTTTTTTTTTTTGTTGTTTTTTTTAACAACGAACAGGATTTAATTCCCCGTGAATTTCATTCACGCAATGTTATTTGAGAACATTAACATACATTCGCATTACAGGTTAAATATAAGGGTGATAAATGAGCAAGAAAACATAATTATTCAAAAATGTGGCGAATGGAATTCAGAGTTTCAAAAAAAAAAATCATAATAATCGACAATACTTTTCAATCTGTTCAATGTCTGTTAAAAATCAAATACATGAAATTTTGCTTTTAAACCGTATTAAATTTAACTTTAAATATAAAAATAATGAAGTTACATGACACACTATAACGATTATATTCTGAAAGCACAATTTCAGATTTAAAGTCTAAAAACCATGTTCGTAACCTGACATTTAACAATCTGAACTCTCTAACCACTACGCTAACGCATTTACGAATCAATGTAACAATTGAAGAACTTGAACAACCCATTTTACCATAATGGTACGGCCGATTAATGTCAACGATCTATGACCTATAAAAAAAATTTGGGTCATGTAAACATACGTGTTTTTGCAACAGTTGTTTAAATATTAAATTTCAATTATAAAAAAAGTTATAGTCATCAAACAGTGTAGATTGTCATCGGAAGGTGCTTATGTTTAAGTAAAGGATTCCTTTTTTTACAAAAACGATATCATATTCACATTTTTATATACACATAATTCTTGGTACTCTTTTCTTGACATAGTTATTAATATCAGTATAAATTGTTGAATGTATATCCATCCAAATTGTTTAAATATTTTGATTATGTTCATTTAACTTATTGTGCTAGTTATACATTAATGCATATGGTATGATCCTTTGCAATACAGATCTGCAGCCATGGACAAAATCATAATATTCAATTTAATCAATGGCCATTGTTATCACAATAATTGTAGCGCATATTAACTTATTAAGAATAAACACATCAATTTGATTGTTTATTGAATTGGATTATTGGTAGATTGTTTTTACGCCGATTTCAAAACAAAAATAATATGGTCATATATTATCGGGCTGTCCGTTTTTCCGGCTGCCATGGATAATTTACACGTACGGAAATCTTTCTATTTATACTTCTAAAAATTTTAGATTAGATATTTTAAAAAAAATATTTATAAAAATTTATATTTCTAGAAATCTTCCGCTATTTGAAATCTTTCTGTTCAAAAAGTGTATAAATGTTCGTAAAAAAACACCAGCATTTTTCGGGCCAACTGCTGAAACACCACTTGTCTGATTCTTTTCCGTTTTCTTTTATCAATTAGTTTGGAGGGTCTTCTTTACAGAAACATAAGACCCAAAGCCCCTAACCAAGCGACATTGCTAGGATATTTCCACGTGACATGGTCGTCTTTTTTTTCTTTTTTGTTGTTTGTTTTTTGTTTTTTTTTTGTTTTTTTTGACCGGCTTTTTGTTCTTTCTGTCTATAAAGTTTTTATTATTTTGCAAAAATACACCATTTGCACGAACCAACCGTAACAACACAATTTGTCTGATTCCTTTGCGGATTCGTGTTTGTTCCGTTAGTTTAGGGGATTTACTTTACAGAAATTTAAGTCAAAGTAACAGTTTGGGAGATTTCTGCGTGGCATAGTCGTTTATTTGGATCTGTCGATTTGTTCTTTCCTTTCTGTATATAAAATGTATAAATTTTCGTAAATAATCACCATTTTCTCGAGCCAACCGATAACACAACTAACTTTTGTCTTAATCCGTTGCGGATTGGATTTTCCATTTGATTTTCCATTTGTTTGGAGGATCGGTCTTCTTACAGAAACCTGTTAACTTTACCGTACCCGTCCTGTCACAGTATTAAACGAGCTAGTATGAAAGTGGGGTAACGCTCACCTTTAAATTTCCACAACTTTGCAGATCTAAACAGACATTCGTGAAGGTTTAATTATATTTTTATTCGACTCTTCTCAATGTATGCAGTGCACGGCTGGCTATTTCAATCGCAGCCATTTTACGCGTGCGTTAAACCTCATATATGCTGAGATAAATTAGTTACATATTTCAAAAGTGTTACTATTTTAATTGCGATTGAAAAAAAAAATTGTTAAACACAAATGTTTAAAAAACAAATAACAACCTAAAATATTAAAAGACTGCCCCACTTTATACATTGAACATTACCGGTATTTTTCGTAGGATTAGTATAGATATGTATGTGGGTCACGTAGGTAGTTGATTACTCAGGTGACTTTACTATTTAATTGAAAACAAATATGACAAGATTTAAAGGTATTTTGATTTACCCTGAAGACTATCTATTTACTCCTGAATTAGAAACGCGCTGTGATAGTTAAAAAGCATTTTAAATCTTATTTAATACAGTTTTGTTGGTCGGGGTGAGGTAAAAAAAAGTTGTTGTTGTTTTGGTTGTGTGTGTGTTTTTTTTTTTGTTTGATTTTTTTAGATTGAACTAGGGAATACGGACTGGGTGTACATATCATTTGACTACTGTACAAAGTTATCTAGATAGACAGAAGATATATTTTCGTTTGTCAAAACCACACGGTATATATTTCGCATACACGACATTAACTAAAGATGGAATAGATACAAATGAATAACTACAAGAAAAATAAACTCGGCAAAGAACAATCTATGATGATGATTTGCGCCCAGTGAATGTTTTTATTAAATAGAAATTATGTTTTTCTCTTAAATCCATCAAATTGTTTATCTAACTTCCCCATGAATCCATCTTCTGAATATGTCACTATCAGCACAATTTAACGCTTTAGATTTGTACCATATTTACTTAATGGTCCGTTTACAAGTCCGAATTCGCTATTCCTGTCATTATCTGTTAATATAAATATCGACAAATAGGGGTGTCAAGTTAATTATTTTATAAAAGCATACTTTATATCGTCTAAATCTTTTACCACCTAATCAATCATACATTTTTTATGCGTTTAGCATACTAGCGTAGTGGTAGAGTGTTCTCTCTGTAAGTGTAGAGACCCTCGTTCGAATCCTTGAAAATGCTTTTTTTTCTTTCCTTTTATTTTTTGTTAGTAGGTTTTTTGTTGTTTTGTTGTTGTTGTTTTTTTTTACAATGAACATGATTTAATTCCCCGTGAATTTCATTCACGCAATGTAATTTGTGAACATTTAGTTATAAATACATTCGCATTACAGGTTAAATATAAGGGTGATAAATGAGCAAGAAAACATATAATTATTCAAAAATATGGCGAATGGAATTCAGAGTTTCAAAAAAAGATAATAATCGACAATACATTTCAATCTTTTCAATGTCAGTTAAAAATCAAATACATGAAATTTCGCTTTTAAACCGTCATAAGTTTAACTTTAAATATAAAGATAATGAAGTTACATGACACACTATAACGATTATATTCTGAAAGTAAAAATCATAATTAAGAAATGTGCACAATTTCAGTTTTAAACTTGAAAAAACATGTTCGTAACCTGACATTTAACAATCTGAACTCTCTAACCACTATGCTGCACGCATTTACGAATCAATAAAAATTCAAAATGTAACAATTGAAGAACTTGAACAACCCATTTTACCATAATGGTACGGCCGATTAATGTCAACGACCTATACCGTAACAAAAAAATTGGGTCATGTAAACATACGTGTTTTTGCAACAGCTGTTTAAATATTGCATGGCTCTAAAAATGGCGGAAAAATTGAGTTTAAAGGAATTGACCATGGAACAAATACAGACAGTATGTTATTTATTTATTTACTTATTTTTATTTATTCCTTTATTTACAAAAACATTTCTTGTTTTTAATCTTATCACTCTTTACACTGCTGGTACTGAAAGTGAGTAACATTTGTGGCCAATATAATCGCGGTGGTGAACTGTTACACGGAGGATTGCTTATATGCTGAAAAGCCCTGCAACACAGCGAGGATGGAATTCTTAATACGATAACTTGTCAGGAGTTCTTCTGATAACTGTCACGCAGTTCACCGGAAAACTTGTGTTTATACCGAAGAAACACTCGTCAAAGTAGTAATTTTCATCTTTAAAAAGATAGTTGAGGTGCTAAATTAAACTTTGATGGTTAAGCTTGCCTTACATATTGTATTATTGCCAGAACAAACTTTAAAGTCCATTTTACATCTCCTCCTGTTTAAATCTGATAGTTTTGAGTAAAATCTCCAAATTATTCTACCATTCGTACATATTTACCTTTCTTCCTGGTGACACTAAATAACCTAATTTTTTATTACTCATTTAGGGTGTAAATCATTATAAAACGTAGTCGTTTTATCAACTGGTCTTAAACATGTGGTGTTAGCATGTGTTACTGTTATTTTAGCATCGTATGAAAAGAACGGAGACTATCAATAAAATGCGTTATTATTTTTATAACTACCTTATCGGGGGGGGGGGGGTAGACCCTACCCAGCGTTTATTGGGAATTTAACACCGGTTTTTTCTTCTTTGCGTAAAGTCACAGTCAAAAGTAGTGTTATAATATTTCTCTAATGATCCTTATACTCGAAAATACTCTATTATTTTTCTTGCGTGAACTATTGGCGGTTTTTATCGTATTTTTTTTTGAGGCCCCATCTGGGTAACCCCGTTTATTTACCCCATAATAGGTATGAGGGGATCGGGGTCATCCTCCAATATACCTTACATTGTTAATATACAATATATATGTTGCAAAATAATTACATTAATGTAAATATTGTCAAATGCATCTACAGTATATACTTTGTATATAAATATAAACAACATACATACAATAAACCCATCTGTTTTCCAAAAATATTTTACCAATAAAAAACTACTACTTATTATTAAACAATTAAACAATCTGTTACGAGGTAAAAGTTTTGTTTCACATATTAAGTGTAGTTTAAGCAATAAAGGATCTTATAATTGACCATCTATTATTTTCATCATCTGTCAAATTTGTATTTCTATAGATATTCCATGTTAATTTCAAACTATTTTTAAAACCAATACATGTAGGTAAAAAGTTTTTTCTCTTAGACAAATAAATATATCTTTCAATTCTAGAAACAATATGTCATATTTAAAATCTTTAGTTTCTGTACCTAATATGAATGATTTACAACAAAGAACATCATCAAAATTATGTAAGTTTACTCTAAGGTATTGAAATAGGCTTTGAATTTTCTGACATTCCCAAAATAAATGTAAAAGTGTTTCTTCACAGCATTTACAAAAAGTACACATTTAACTGTCAACAATTTTCATTTTAAACAAAAGTGAGTTTGTAGCTAAAGTTCTATGAATAATTCTTGTTTGGAACCACTGAATATATGAATCTTTAGAACATTTGAAAACATAACTATATATTAACTGCCAATTAATGTTATTATCTTTAAAACATGTGTTCCACATTTCTTGACTTGTAGGTATGTCTGATTTTTTAGTAATAATTTCATAAACATATTTTTTATTGTTATTCATAGTTAAAATAGGTATAACATAACAATTTATTATAGGATATTGAACATTAAGCAAATTGTTACTAATAAAAATATTTAACTTTTGCATGTACATTTTTATGCCCCCGCCATGTAATAGCCGGGGCATATAGTGTTACCCTGTTCCGTTATTCCGTCCTTCCGTCCTTCCGTCATTCTGTCATTCCGTCATCATCAGTTTCCGTTCATTATCTTAAGAACGGTTGCACACATTCAACTTAAATTTGACATATGGATATGTCATGAGAAAATACAGGTTAAGTTCGAATTTGGTCATGGTTCGATGATTTTTGGCAGAGTTATGCCCCTTTTACATTGAAAATAATATGAAATTTTCAGTTTCCGTTCATTATCTCCACAACGATACAACAAATTCAACTCAAACTTGACATATGGATATGTCATGAGAAAATACAGGTCAAGTTCGAATTTGGTCATGGTTTGATGATTTTCGGCAGATTTATGCCCATTTTACTTTGAAAACAATATGAAATTTTCAGTTTCCGTTCATTATCTCCCCAACAGTACAACACATTCAACTCAAACTTGACATATGGATACGTCAAAGGAATGCGCAGGCCAAGTTCAAATTTGGTCATGGTTCAATATTTTTTGGCAGACTTATGCCCCTTTCACTTTGAAAATAATATGAAATTTTCAGTTTCCGTTTATTATCTCCCCAACGGTACAACACATTCAACTCAAATTTGACATATGGATATGCTTTTGGAATGCCCAGGCCCAGTTCGAATTTGGTCATGGTTCAATGATTTTTGGCAGAGAAATGCCCCTTTCACTTTGAAAATAATATGAAATTTACAGTTTCTGTTCATTATCTGCCCAACAGTGTTACATATTCAACTCAAATTTGACATATGGATATGTCAAAGGAATGGGCAGGTCAAGTTGGAATTTGGTCATGGTTTGATGATTTTTTGGCAGAGTTATGTCCCTTTCACTTTGAAAATAATATAGATACATCTTAGGAATAAGCAGTTTAAGTTTGAATTTGGTCGTGGTTCAATGACTTTGGACAAACTTATCTTTTCTGAATGTTGGAAAAATTTTGAACTTTCAATTTCATCACTCATACTTTTGTGGAAATGTATGTAGCCATATTTTTGGCTACAAATATGCAATATGCTTTGTTTAAAAGGTTAAGACTGAATAATTTCAGTGCCTTGAACATTGTATGAAAATGGTTTGTGTTAACATTGAAAAGTTTTAAGGGCTTTGAACTTAAAATGAAAAAAATTATTTGTGCAAACAAATTTGGAACTAAATATTATAACATCTGAAATTATGGCTGCATGCGGGGGCATCCGTGGCATGATGACACATTTCTAGTTATTGCCTATTTTAAACTATGATACTGTAAAAAGTTCACAGGTTTACCTGTGACCTGTTCTTATTATATGAAATCTACAAAGTTACCCTGTTCATTTATAATATCTTTTACAAATCTGATTCCTTTATTATATAATGTCTGAATGAAAATATATCTATTTCCTGCTAAAAAGTTGTGATTGTAAAAAAGTGGCATATGTAATACTTGCTCTATATTATCTATACAAAGTTTATCTACAAACACCATATAAGCTTTTAAAACATCAATCCAGAAAGAATTTGTTATTTTACTTATAATCAAATTACAAAACATATTTCCAGTGTTAAAAAAATTTTATCAATATTAAACAATGTGTTAACAAGCTTATAACATTTACTTTTGCTATTACTAACATATCTTTTAAACCATTTTATCTTTAAACTATGTATATAACTTTAAATATCAACCATGTTTAAACCACCTTCTTTAAGTACTGATTGTTTTATTTTTGCCTTGCCTTCCCAAATGAAATCATAAAATAAGTCATTAAGTGTTTTCAAAAATACAGTATTTGGTGTTGGTAGGCTTGTGAAACAGTGAGTAAATAAAGAAAGCAATATTGACTTAATAACAGCATTTTTTCCTATTGGAGTTAATATTCTCTTTATCCAGTGAATGATACTAATTTTTACTTTTTGAAATTTTTCATTAAAATTTAAGTCAATCATTTTTTCTAAATCAACATCATATATTAAACCTAACAATTTGAACTGTGTATCACCTCATGTTAATTTCCATCTTGTCTTAATTGACCTAGTACTATATTTAAGAGAGCCTATCCAAATAACCTTAGTTTTGTCAAAATTTATCTTTAATTTTTATCGTAAAATTTATTTGAGTGCATTTTGAATAACAATATCTAATATGAACGTACAAGTGTTTTTGAAATCGTGAAAAGGAAGAAGTATGTTAGTTAAAACTCAATGAGACGTGACGATATTAAACTTCACTGTCTGAAGCATTCAGATTTTTGCGACGGACGCGCTCTCGGGCGCGTTCAGAGCTAAGTCATCTACACATGGGATTTCGTCGGCTACAATCGCGCAGAATGTCCTCCACCGATTAACAGCCCAAGAAATAGTACATGAATGTGATCCTTTAAAACTCCCATACTTTGTCGGGATATCTTAAAATCTTCCATATTTAGCCTTTTCAATTTCAAATTAAGTTATCCAAGTTAAAATATGAACGTATATGATTGATAAAAACGTTGTATTCACGTAGTATTATGCGCAATATGCAAATTACTGCCGAAACGATTTACCGCTGTCGAAAAAGTAGGACAGAAAATTATACATGTACTATAATAAAGGTGTAAGCTCTGAGTTCCAAGAAATTATTAGTAGGAAATAAATATTTCTACATTATACAAAACATTATTATTAACAAATCAAAAGTTTTTCGTGACTCTAGAATAACTCGCGCATTAATAAAAGAAGAACTATTTCCGTGACTCAGCTGAATGGTCAGCAGTTATTAATAAATTAGATGCAGTACAATGGTTAGTATAAATATCTATTTTTGAAAATGCATGTAACAAGAGAGTATTTCAACACTTTACCACCATGTAGTCTTTCATGGTAATCTTAATTGAAGGAAGTTATAATATCAGTTCTACTTCCGACTCTTGTGGTTTGTTTACATATTTTCTAGGTCACACGATATGAGTTAACCTTCGCTATTCTGCTTCACCTGTGCTGATTTTCGGACAGGCGATTAGGGAGTACACATTATACATGTTATAAACCAGCGGATTACATGCAATACTTTTAGAAATTCTATACAATTGTTAGAAGCAAACAAGTTGAAAAAGGAATTTAGTTTGAAATTGAAAAGGACAACTAAACACTGTAGTGCTTAAGTGACATTTAAATCAAAATAAAAACGACGTGCTCTGGCCTCTACATCTTTACTTTGTAAATGAAAAAAAAATCTAAAAAATGCACTATTAATTGCTGATGATTTTAACCAAAAATATTTTTAATGAGACATATCCGAGAGAAATAAAAATACAAATGACTTATATTTTATTGTCTATATGCCCACTACGATATAACACGAAGCAACTCTAAATAGCATTCTCACATGTGTAATGTATTATGCTTGAAGTTTATTTGCATGGTTTTATTTTAGAAATACTGATTTTCGTTGACAGTTTCTTTTTCTATTTAAATATCATTTCTTGGAATAAATCGATAAGGACACTGATTTACAAGTTTGACCAGAGTTTTTAGGCATAAATTTCATTCTGTATTTAAATGCTTGAAAGTAGAAAATCTGAATCATATCAGATTGGGACACAAAATATTGCTCTACAAATCTCGAACTTGTATGGGTTATATATTTTGTTTTTGTTTTTTTTTTCTAAAAAAAGCCTTAATGTCTCTCCGGTTGCATGTCCGTCGCATTCAGTGCTGCAGCACTTTGATTACTATGGGCGCATCCATCTTAATATTGATTTTGGAGGTAAACAAAGTAATAAGTAGCAGACGACAGAAAACAGTTTATCTGTGATCACTTGAACAAACAATGCAAAGTTTAGTAACAAATTGGCAAATATATTATTCCTCCTCATTTTATTGTAAGTATAATATAAATATCATTCTTGCTCGTTTTAATTATTCTTTCTTTTTCGGTAAAAAAAACTGTCCAATCGGACGAGTCACTATGTTTAATTGCATCATAATTTAATGCATTATAAATCATCGTATAGTCTATTCCAAGATTAAATTGTTAGGTCAGTTATAGCCCGTTTTAAAGTCGAAGCAATCAACATTGTATTGGTCACTTCAATCAATTAGATATGAGAGATACCAGAAATGAACAGAGATGTAGATAATGGTATCTTTATCTCTGAAATGAATGATGATTCGACATCAATACGATTTTGTTAGGACTTTACCAGGCTATTATCAATAAATATTTTTTAAGATAAATCTCCTTCCGGCTTCTAAATTGTACTCCTGTTTATAAACATTTCTATAAATTTAGTGTTGCACTCCATTTAATTATATTCAGAATTATTATTTTAATTGTGAAAAAAATACCCGAAACTGAAAAGCGTTGTAACGTTTTTCACTCAAATCAAATTCTGAGTATATTTCGTAATTATAGTTTGCATATTTTTCCGTTAGCAATTCAATTATTTTTTTTAGCTTTTAGACCTCAGGGAGTTACTATAAGAAATTTAATAAATGTGTAAATTAATGCATGTCCTGTTCTTTCCTGTTTCTCCACAACAACTATGTTATGACGTTACGTGTTATGTAATCATTATATGTCATTTGATGCATGTGTGATTTGTATAAATTGTAGTTTGTCAGCCTTTACCAAAGCTGAATATTGTAAATTAAAATATGATAGTCGTTCTTTTGAAATATTTTTCTTCTATTTCCAGGCGTTTGATAAAACGTTGAAGAACTTTAACGAACCAGGCGTCAAACTTGTTCTTATTACAGACGAATACAAAGACATTGCTTTAAAGTTTGCTCGGGAAAACTTTATGACAGAGGAACCAATTAACAAAGGTCTTGGTATGAAGTGGACTGATGAACTTGAACAATTCTGGACGAATTCTTTAGGACTTAACCTCTCCCTTATGTTCCTGAATGAAAAGGATGGTGATCCAATAGCATTTCGGACCACAAGAATAGCTCGATATGACGATAAATATGATATTGATGGAATACAAGACCAACCGTTAAAGGAAATGGTCCGCTATATGGTGTACTGTGACGAAAAGGCGGATTTCTTTGGTCATTTTAATACGAAAGAAGCGTTCCACTTCTTAGGCCTTGCAGTAGCACCAAAATATAAACATCGTGGCTATGCTACGAAGATATTCAACACTGCAATAGATATGATTCGCAATTTTGGAATCGATCCCGTGTATCTTAAAGTCGAGGGTTCCTCGGATTTTTCAAAAAAGATATTTGAAAAGGCAGGTTGTGAAATCTTGTATGAAAAATTCTTCGATGATTGGGTGGTGGATGGAGAAAAACCTATAAAGGATACAGGCATTCACAAGTCCATGAAAAATTATGGAATGAAGTTGTCGTAGATATCTTGAATGACATGAATGAGATGTGTTAAAAGAATTTCTTCAGTTGTATAAGAAGTAATACAAATTAGATGGACTTTTGAAATTAGGTATCAGGTTTTGTTTTTGGCATGATAGGGCTGGTATTTAGTTTCCGAGATATATGAAGTATTTGATGAATTCTGGACTTACAGCTTTTTTCAAGAATAATTATTTTGATTGTGAATTTGACCCAAAAAATAGATGCGTGTAAACGCCTTAAATGTGGACTGAGAATAGCACAGAAATTCTATTTTATTTGTTTTAGTATTTCATGAATTTTAATTGTGGAAATGACCCAAAACTGAAAACATTATCAATACAAAGCAACGTAAGAAGAGCACAAAAATAGGATTTTCAACTTATTTTTGATTATTTTGTTTATTATCTTTTGCATAATTATTCGTTTTAAGTGTACCAGCTGATCCTTGGTAAGACAAATTCAAAATTTATGTGTATAGGCTTGAAAACTCAGTGGAGTTAACAATTGTCTACCAAATGGTCAATTATAAAAAAAGTTATAGTCATCAAACAGTGTAGATTGTCATCAGAAGGTGCTTATGTTTAAGTAAAGGATTACTTTTTTTACAAAAACGATATCATATTCACATTTTTATATACACATTATTCTTTGTACTCTTTTCTTGACATAGTTATTAATATCAGTATAAATTGTTGAATATATATCCATCCAAATTGAGAAATAAATACTCAGTGAAAAATCTTAATTGTTCTTTTCTTTTTCGGTTAATATTCTTCTTATTGTGCAAACTTCTTATTAACTAGTGTATCTTCGCTGTTTGATTGGTGTTCATCTCAATGATTCAAATCATGCCATTAATCAGACTAGTTATAAAAATCCTAAGCTTTCTAAGCTTGAAGCATATAAGCTTCAGCATATACCCTCTTTCAAACACCAATTGTACAGCCTGAACCAATTAAAATCGCGATATATTTCAAAATCAGTCATATGGGTCAGATTGCCTCAGTGCAAGGTTTCTAAAGATATGCTCATTTACTATGTTCAATAACAGCATTCTAAATAATGCATTTCCTAAATGGTTAAAAAATGCCAAAGTCATTCTTATACATATAAAAGGGTTCTAAAAGTGATAAAATAAATTAAAGGCTAATTTAAGTAAATTATAGGCCACTTTTCATACTTCCTTTGATATAACTTAATAAAGGTCTTGTCAGTTAACATTTCAAGCAATACCTGGGTAAAAATCAACTCATTTTGATTCAGATTAATATTTTACGTCAAACTGTACTACTAAGAACTGTTTATGATTATTGGATTAAAGTTTTTGACATAAATGAAATATTTGCTTCTTTTTTTCATCGATATTTCTAAAGCTTTGACTATAAGATCACGCCATTATTTTTGAAAAAGCTTAGATAAAGCTTAGAAAAGGCTTGTATATCTTTGACCCTTTATCAATTGCTTGTATCGCCTCCTTTTAGGTAGCAGAAACCATCAAACCTACATATCCGGTTCGTATTCAGAGCAACTACTGGTGCTCCTCGTGGTTCAATTCTTAATTGTTTTTTCTTTTTCGGTTTATATTCTTCTTATTGTGCAAACTTCTTATTAACTAATTATCTTCACTGTTTGACTGGTGTTCATCTCAATGAATCCAATCATGTCATTAATCAGACTGGTTATAAAAATCCTAAGCTTGCTGAGCTGAATGTATATAAGTTTCAGCATATACACTCTTTCAAATTACCAATTGTACAGCCTGAACCAATTAAATTCGCGAGATATTATATGGATCAGATTGTCTCAGTGCAAGATTTCTAAAGATATGCTCATTTACATTACAATATGTTCAACAACAGCATTCTAAATAATACATTTTCTAAATTGTTCAAAAATGCCAAAGTCGTTCTTATACATATAAAATGAATTCTAAGTGATAAAATAAATAACAGGCCAATTAAAGTAAGTTATAGACCAATTTTTTATACTTTCTTTGATACCAATTAAAAGTCATGTCAGTTAACATTTCAAGCAATACCTGGAGGAAATATTTCACGTCAAACTGCACTGCTAAGAACTGTTTATGATAATTGGATTACAGCTTTTGACAGAAATGAAATATTTGCTTCATTTTTTTCATCGATCTTTCTAAAGCTTTTACTTAAAAAAGCTTAGAATGTATATCTTTGACCCTTAATCAGTTTCTTGGTTCTCCCCCTGTTAGGTATCAGAAACCAACAAACTTACATATCCGGTTTATGATCAGAGTAACTTTCAGTAACTATTGATGCTCCTCGTGGTTCAATGCTATGTTCTATACTGTTTTAAAGCTGTATCAATGATCTTTGGAAAAAGCAGACAATTATATTTGTGCTGATGGTAGATGATACCACCCATGTATCCCGTAACAGAGTAGTTGAATCTCTTACTCATGATCTTTTAAATGCTGACAAATGGTATGATTTGAATAGCGTGTATGTACCAAAAGCTATTGTCATGTATATTTCCTCAAAACACAAGAAATATTATGGTTGTGAAATCAGAGACAGGCTAACAGAGACAGGCTATTGCCAATACTGCTAAGATATCATGCGTGCTTCCTAAACTTGTAGCAAGTAAAACTTAACTAGATATCAGAATGCAGTAAAATAATACATTTTTTTTTTAAATCTTATACATTTATCTACGGCTGAATGTAAAAAAAAACATTTACTGTTCCCATTTATATAAATGATACATCAACTACTTATAAACCTTTGTTACATAACTATGCATGTGACAAATAACTGGCTCAGACGTTATGTTCTGCTACATTATTTTCAGCGAAAACCATAGAAATTAATCAATGTTTTAACATGCAGCAATCGATAAAAGTTGAAATGTTTCAAATCTAAGGATTACATCCCTGCAGTTTTTGAAGATTGGTAGATCTCAATGAGTAGAAGTGCAGTGCATTATTATTATTAGTAGAAGTAGTAGTAGTAGTATTATTAATGTTGTTGTTGTTGGTGGTGGTGATGTTGTTGTTGTTATTATTATTATTATCATTTTTATTATTATTATTATTATTATTATTATTATTATTATTATACTAATTTGGAAACATGCATACAATGCTAGACCAAGAGTCAGGTAAATGTTGGTTTTTAGTAATTTGTATAGTCCATACCGGTTTATATGTAAGCGTGTTTTTTATTCTGTTGATAGATGTGTGTCTAACTCGGGCAAAACTGTAGCGTTGTTTGACCCATATCCAGAATATCCATATAGACTTACAGTATATTTTGCAGTAATTAGCTTTATTATAAAATATAATAACCACACTTAAAAGCCATGCATGTCCTATTTGGAAGATATTTGTCCATTATCACAGTGTAAAAACATATATGCTCTGAATTGAAAGGTAACAGCTTGCAATATGCATACATGTATGATACATTGTTCGGAAATAAAATGTGCTGATTATAACACAATAACCGTAGACACTGCAAATGATAGTGATTTTGTGATTTTGTTTTTGAAGTGATTATTAGAAATTGTTAGAGTGACATGCTCATTCTTTTTCACAGTCAATCTGAGATAAATTAGTTGCATATTAAAAATAAAAACTTTTTGTGGCGATTGAACAATAATTGATAAACACAAATGTTAAAAAAAAAAATAAAAACTGCCTAAAATATAATAAAAAGACTGTCCCACTCTTTTTATACATTGTACATAACCGGTATTTTCCTGTGAATAATAATAGGTTATTTATGTAGGTCACTTGGTTATTTGATAATACCTGCACTCCAGTTAACGCACTTTGTATGTATTGGTATACGATTTAAAGCTGACACATTTTTAACAAGATATGGTAAAAATTGTTTTACAACAGCTTTAAATCAGTGTTTATTAAAAATTGCACGGCTCTAAAACTGGCGGAAAATTTGAGTTTAAAGGAATTGACGATGGAACAGATACAGACAGTATGTCATTTATTTATTATTTTTTTATATGATTTATTTTTTATTTATTTAAACATATTGTTGTTCACCGAGTCTTTTTCCGACATATTCCAGTATGTATAGTTTTTTTAAAAATAACCGCTACTCATTGGCAATCAATCCGAACCATATTCTTGTTATAAGTACAGTTAAAGATGTTTAGTATTTTGCATGGAGGTCAAAACACTACTTACAATTTTATTACTTTCGTTGGCAAATAATTCACATTCAGGGCCACTTTCCTTGGGTAATAAGCTTCTAACATGCTCTTAAAGGGACTCCACAGAGGTTTTTTGACATGATGGGACTAAGAATATTATTTCCAGATAAATGTATCGTTTGATGTAGGTTTAGACCACTAATGTTTGTGCAAAATTTCAGATCATTCGCGCACTTCGTCTTTCCGGAATAATTATTCAAATTGTAAAAAATAACTCAAAATGAAAAACGTTTAAACGCTTTTCACTCCATTCGCGCTAAGAAAAGCATAAAAATACGATTTTCAATTTATTTCAAAGTATATTTTGTAACTATCTTTGCATATATTTCTGTTTAAAGTGCTCCAGCTCATTTATGTTAGAAATTAAAATGTTATGTTTTTAGACTTTTAAACCTCAGTGGAGTCCCTTTAAGTCGTTATTTAAATGTTATTAATGTTAACTTATAAAGAAAGAAGCTTTATTATCTCTTTATAAATATAATATTGAGAAATTTTGATGAAATGTAAAGTTTATTTTTGTTTTCCTTATTTTCACAATAAAAAATTATTTTGCACTGCAGAGAAACATACTTTTCGTATTTTCACTAGTGTATTGCTGGACTACTTTCTTCTTAATTCAGCCAATATACAAAATCTAAAGTGTACAAATACAAATGTTGCTGCAATGCAGCAATTGAGAAGCTCCGCACAAAATGCGCTCATTACAGATACCTTACCAAACTATTCCTACGCACAGGTCATGTTATATTCAGATTAAGTTCTATTATAGATTTTGCCGAATGTTTTGTAAACCACTTTTTGCATAATTAAACTTACCTGATGCACTGTCCATAATTAAAAAGAGGGCCCAGATATTTAATTTGAAAAAATGCTTTCACTGATGCCTACCTGGTAAGGAAAGTAATTCCATTGAATACAAACAAGGCTTACAAGACTTGTAAATGTTATGTGACATGACTGTTTTGTGTCACTACTGTAGTCAGTATCATAAGATGATAAAAATATCAAAGTCTGTTTTTTTATTATTATAATTGTAACGAATATACAAATAGTAACAAAAGGGACTTATATTATAATATAGTTATATTATATGCATTTTTTTCATGTCAAATTTAAAAAAAATGGTTTCTTTCAATACTGATAGAAGACTGTTACCTGAATTTTAGGCAGGTATGAGGAAAATTCACTAACATCATGCTCGTGCGAGTCAAAGATGCAGATCAAAGTTTCTGTTGTTGCCAATAATGCGATCTATCTATCTATAGTCAATGCTTAATGAGGGTCTATCCGCCCGTACGGGCACAAAATGCAGCTTTCGCTGTCGATTACGGACCCCGGACATGTCACCAGTCATGCCCTTAAAGGGTATAAATCTAAAAGTTATGAAATATTTTTTTAATCTATCAACAGTAAAATTATATTGGTTCCATTATTATATGGTTGATTCCTGAAGAAGTTGTGACATATAATGTCTTTGTTATTTAACACACATGAATAAAGTACAAAAACAGAATAAAATGTTCCGGAACAAAATATTATTTTGCTATTTTAAGCAGAGTTATTTAGAGAATATCTTAATGACGTATTCGACAAACAATTATATTGACGTTTTTATCATTCGACCGAGGTAAGCTAGAAAACCTTCACGTAAAATATAATAAAATACATGATACTAGTTCAACCTCGGCTGGCTCGAACTACCGATGTCTCGAACAAATTTGCACAGGGCCTCCGAGTTCGAGCGAATGAAGTTTGACTGATAGTTGTTTATATTGTTTAAATTTTCATTTCAGGCATTTGATAAATCGTCAAGCAAATTCAAAGAACCGGGAGTCAAGTTTGTCTTAATTACTAAGGCCAATGAAGACATTGCTTTAAGAATGGCACGAGAATATTTTATTACACAGGAACCAATGAATAAATGTCGTGGTATGAAGTGGACAGAGGAAGTTGAAGATTATTGGAAGAAAGATATGAACACTGGTCTTTCTCTAATGCTCTTGCATGATGAAGATGATGATCCAATAGCCTTTCTAACCATCGAAATCGTCCGATTTGATGACAGATGTGATATTGAAGGTATTCAATACCAAGCTTATAAAGACCTCGTTCGCTGCTTGGCTGATTGTGACCGGAATGCGGACTTCTTTGGCCATTTTCAAACTAAGGAAGCTTTTCACTTCATTTCTTTGGGAGTGACTCCGAAATACGGACAACGTGGCTATGGGACAAAGATAATTAACTTTGCAATTGATATGGTGCGAAATTTTGAAATTGATCCGGTGTATATTCAAGTAGAAGGTTCATCCAATTTTTCAAAGAAAATTTTTGAAAGGGCAGGTATGGAAATCTTACATGAGAAATATTTTGAAGATTGGGAATTTGAAGGGAGGAAACCATTCCAGAATACGGGCATTCATAAGTCTCTTTAAATCTATGGACTGAAATTGTCTGCAAAATAACATTGTTGGTGTGATACAGTCATAACTTTATTGTTATCAGCTATTTTAGTTACATTACAAAAAAAGAAACCAGGCTAGTTGTACCATATGTAATTTCCAATTTTTGACTTCAGGTCCGTTTCCAGTTTAACAATTTATTATATTTTTTGATTGAGTTCACTTTACGTGGGGCAACATAGCAAGAAATGGTATTCAGATTCAACATTTTGTGTCACATTTTACATATTCATATGCATTTATATACATAAGGTTTCTATCAGTCCCAGAATATCTTCCGCTTTCGATTTCAAGGGAATGTGAGACGAGATCTTAGACGAGACATTTTTTCTAGATATGTCAAAAATTAATAACATCTAAGTATATTTCGTACACAAATAGAGTTTTAAACTGTCTATAGTAGAATAACTTAGATTTATTTGAAACAGTTTCATTCCAAGCTTGTACATATTCGTCACGTTACGTGACGTAATCTTTGTTTAAACATATATTTCATATAGTTTGTATCAATGTTATTTGTATTTCATAAATAACTATTCCCTAAATTATCTAATAAACATTCATTCTTTGATGCCCAGGTTACTTTATTGTTGTTATTTAACAAATCGCGCAGCTGTATATTAATACTCATCTCACCAACCGTTAAGACACCAATTATCTGATTCCATTGCGGAAAATTCTATTCTCCATTAATATCAAGGGTCTTCTTTGCAGAAATATAACCCGAGCAACATTTTTGGAGATTTCCGCTTGACATGGTCGTTTTTAGACCGGCGATTAGTTCTTTCTGCATAAAAAGTGTTTAAATTTTCGTTAAAACAAAAGCAACATTTTCTCTAGCCAACAGTTATAACATAATTTGTCTGATTCCAGTGCGGATTCGATTTTCTATTAGTTTTCTTTGTAAAAATATAAGGCCAAAAGCCCTAAACCAAGCAAAATGTCCGAGAGATTTCCGATTGACATGGTCGGTTTTTAGACAAGCGATTTGAACTTTCTGTTCAAAAAGTGTATAAATGTTCGTAAAAAAACACCAGCATTTTTCAGGCCACCTGTTGAAACACCACTTGTCTGATTCCTTTGCGTTTTCTTTTATCAATTAGTTTGGAGGGTCTTCTTTACAGAAACATAAAACCCAAAGCCCCTAGCCAAGCGACATGCCTAAGATATTTCCACGTGGCATGGTCGTTTTTTGTTTGTCTTTTTTTTTTGTTGTTGTTTGGAGATTTCTGCGTGGCATAGTCGTTTATTTGGACCTGTCGATTTGTTCTTTCCTTTCTGTATATAAAATGTAAAAATTTTTGTAAAAAATCACCATTTTCTCGAGCCAATCCGTTGCGGATTCGATTTTCCATTTGTTTGGAGGGTCGATCTTTTTTATAGAAATATAAAGTCATACCTGTTAGCTTTTTTCTATGGCATTGACTTAACCCTACCCGTCCTGTCACAGTATTAAACGAGAACTAGTATGGAAGTGGGGTAACGCTCACCTTTAAATTTCAATTTTCACAACTTTGCAGATCTAAACAGACATTCGTGAAGGTTTATTTGTATTTTTATTCGGCTCTTCTCAAGGTATGCAGTGCACGACTGGCTATTTCAATCGCAGCCATTTTACGCGTGCGTTAAACCTCATATATGCTGAGATAAATTAGTTGTATATTTCAAAAGTGTTACTATTTTAATGGCGATTGAAAAATAGTTGTTAAACACAAAAAAAAAATAACTACCTTAAATATTAAAATACTGCCCCACTTTATACATTGAACATTACCGGTATTAATATATCTATAGATATGTATGTGGGTCACGTAGGTAGTTGATTACTCAGGTGACGTTACTATTCAATTGAAAACAAATATGACAAAATGTAAAGTTATTTTGATTTAACCTGAAGACTATCTATTTACTCCTGAATTAGAAACGCGCTGTGATAGTTAAAAAGCATTTAAAATCTTATTTTTACTGTTTTGTTGGTCGGGGTGAGGTAAATAAAAAGTTGTTGTTGTTTTGGTTGTGTGTGTGTTTTTGTTTGTTTGTTTTTTATTTTTTAGATTGAACTAAAGGAATACGGACTGGGTGTACATATCATTTGACAACTGCACAAAGTTATCTAGATGGTATCATATATATAAACCACACGGTATACATGTCGCATACACGACATTAACCAAAGATGGAATAGATACAAATGAATAACTACAAGAAAAAAATAAACTCGGCAAAGAACAATCTATGATGATGATTTGCGCCCAGTAAATGTTTTGATTATATAGAAATGAGCCGTGTCACGACAAAACCAACATAATAGGTTTGCGACCAGCATGGATCCATATCAGCCTGCGCATCCGCGCAGTCTGATCAGGATCCATGCTGTTCGCTATCAGTTTCTCTACTTGTTAATGGGTTGGTAAGCGAACAGCATGGATCCTGATCGCGGATGCGCAGGCTGGTCTGGATCCATGCTGGTCGCAGACACATTATGTTGGTTTTGTCGTGGCGCGGCTCAAATTATGTTTTTCTCTTAAATCAATCAAATTGTTTATCTAACTTCCCCATGAATCCATCTTCTGAATATGTCACTATCATCACAAGTTAACGCTTTAGATTTGTACCATATTTACTTAACGGTCCGATTTATATTACAAGTCCGAATTCGCTATTCCTTTATTTGCATTATAAAAACGTATAATATAAATATTGACAAATAGGGGTGTCGATAATTCTTTTATAAAAGAATACTATTTATCGTCTAAATCTTTTACCACCTTATCAATCACTATTTTTATGCTTTTAGCATTTATAACAGCGTAGTGTCTGTAAACTAAAAGACCCTGGTTTGAATAAAAAGGAGTTTTTTTTTTCTTTCCTTTTATTTTTTTGTTTATAGGATGACAAAATGGATTTAATTCCCCGTGAATTTCATTCAAACAATGCTATTTGAGAGGTTATACACACATTCGTATAACCTGAGGTTAAATATAAGAGATAAAGGTGATAAATGAGCAAGATAAAATTCAGCTTTGAACTTTGAGATTTTATAATCTGAACTTTCTTTCCACTACGCTACTTGGATTTACCAATTAATATCCAAGTGCTGTTATTCTTCTATATTGCAATAAAAGTGCAAAATGTAACAACTGAAGACCTTGCACAACCCATTTTACCATAATGGTATGACCGATTAATGTCAACGACCTATACCGTAACCAAAAAAATTGGGTCATGTAAACATACGTGTTTTTTTGCAAACAGCTTTTTAAAATATTGCAGGCTTAAAAATGGGCGGAAAAATTTGAGTTTTGGAATTGACCATGGAACAAATACAGACAGTATGGTAATTGTATTTATTTAAAGATTTTTATTTATTTCCTTTTATTTACAAAAAAACATTCCCTTGGTTTTTCTAATCTTATCACTCTTTACAAATGCTGGTACTAAAGTGAGAACATTTGTGGCGAATATATATCGCGTGGTGAACTGGGAGGATTGCTTATACGTGGCTGAAAAGGTCCCTGCAAAAACAACAGCGAGGAATGGAATTCTTAATAAAAAATAAGCTTGTCAGGGAGTTCTTCGTAACTGTCACGCAGTTCACCGGAAAAACTTGTTTTATACCGAAGAAAACACTTTGTCAAATAGTAATTTTTCCATCTTTAAAAAAAGAGAAGTTTGAGGTGCTAAATTAAACTTTGATGGTTAAGCCTGCCTTACATAATGTATTATTGCCAGAACAAACTTTTAAAGTCCATTTTAATCAATCTCCTCCTGTTTAAATCTGATAGTTTTGAGTAAAATCTCCAAATTATTCTAACCATTCGTACATATTTACCTTTCTTCCTGGTGACACTAAATAACCTAATTTTTTCATTACTCATTTAGGGTGTAAATCATTATAAAAACGTAGTCGTTTTATCAACTGGTCTTAAACATGTGGTGTTTAGCATGTGTTACTGTTATTTTAGCATCGTATGAAAAGAACGGAGACTATCAATAAAATGCGTTATTATTTTTATAAATAACCTTTTCGGAGTTATTGCCCTTTGTTAATTTTCTTACTTTATTTTTGTCCGGGCCATTTCTCCTAAAGGATAAAAGGTATCGACTTGAAACGTCATAAGATGATAGATCTCATTAAGAAAAAGTTCATTGCACAAGAACCGGTACTCTGCATTTCTTATTTTTTGAGTTATTGCCCTTTGTTTAATTTTTCATATTTTATTTTTTGTCGGGTCCATTTCTCCTAATGTATTAAAGGCTATGGACTTGAAACTCCATAGGAATGATAGATCTCATTAAGAAAAAAGTACAGCACACAAGAAACCGGTAACTCTGCATTTCTTATTTTTTGAGTTATTGCCCTTTGTTAATTTTCATACTTTATTTTTGTCCGGGCCATTTCTCATAAAGTATAAAAGTTATTGACTTGAAACTTCATCGGATGATAGCTCTCATTTAGAAGAAGTGCAGTGAACAAGAACCGGTACTCTGCATTTCTTATTTTTTGAGTTATTACCCTTTGTTAATTTTCATACTTTATTTTTGTCCAGGCCGTTTGTCCTAAAATATAAAAGCTATGGTCTTTAAACTTCATAGGATGATAGATTTCATTAAAAAAGTGCAGTATACAAGAACCGGTACTCTACACTTCTTATTTTGAGTTATTACTCTTTATTAATTTTCATACTTTATTTTTGTCCAGGCCATTTCTCATAAATTATAAAAGCTATAGACTTGAAACTTCATAGCAGGATATATCTTATTGATAAGAAGTGCAGTGCACAGAAACTGCTGCTCTGCACGTCTTATTTTTTGAGTTATTGCCCTTTGTTAATTTTCATATTTCATTTTTGTCCTGGCCATTTCTCCTAAACTATATTGTTCACAAGGCGACACATCCGACTCGCGGAGTTCTAGTTTTTCTTCTTTGTGTAAAGTCACAGTCAAGAGCAGTGTTAGAATATTTCTCTAATGGTCCTTCTACTCGAAAATACTCTATTATATTTTCTTGCGTGAACGTTGCTATTGGCGGTTTTTATCGTAAAATTTATTTGAGTGCATTTTGAATAACAATATCTAATATCAACGTACCAGTGGTTTTGAAATCGTGAAAAGGAAGAAGTATGTTAGTTAAAACTATACTTAAGGACAATGAAAACGCACGCCCGCACTATATGCATTTTATTACATGAAAACAAAACACTAACGACTTCATTAGATATATATCATAACTTTAATACAAAACACAAACTTAACAAATGAAAATAATTCAAAACATTTAAAATCAAATGTACAACAGTTAATCGAAGAACCTTAGGTGAAAATCCCAAAATCACACATTTTTGTCACAGTAATGCAAACTTAACAAAGGCAAAAACCAAAATGAAAATCCAAAACAAAGTCACTCATAATAAATGTCTATTCGTAATGTCACCGTGGGGATCTTTAGAAACGACAATATCCTCCATTAGGTCTGTTCGTTGACATTCGCCTCATAACCTTTGGGGGGGAATAGTGCCTGTGAATCTGCCCCCATTTCACCCTGAGTGTAGTGCGAAAACGTGGTGAAA